TATAAAGTATGAAACCCAAATGCATTGTGCAATTGAGTATTTTTTCTAGGTTTATTTATTGCAAAGTGATTTGACAGGACTAATTCAAGAACATAATATAAATTAAAGTGTTTTGAAGGGCAATAGCCTTAACGTAGAGCAAAACTGGAAAATACTTCTGAAGAGTGTTGTTCTGTACCCTTTCGGAGACTGGGACAACTTCCAGAACTGGTGAGGGAGGCAGTGCTCCAAAAGGAGCCAGCAACTAGGGAGCCATTATAGTTTCCTCATACTTTATACTCTTCAAGAAATAATTATTTTACACAGATCTCAGAAGCAACAAAAATAACAATAATGGCTGTTTACTTAGTGAATATTTGTCTTGCTTTTGTGCAGGGAGTGGGGTGAGTGGTTGTGGTCTTTTTCTTTGTATTTATACACAAATATTACACCTGTATACGGAAGGAAGGAGAGAGTTAAGGAAATAATGGACCATGAGGCTACAGCTAAAAGCAGCCTACAAACAATCAGTCTGGCTGTCATAAAGACATGGCAGGCAATTTGTTGACCCAATATGGCTTTCACATACTGAGTCGTTGTGTCTTTTCCCAAAAAGATAGCAAGGCTAAGTGTCAGCTTTGAAAGAAAAATCATTTGTGACTTCAAATAGCTTTACAAACATCTTCCTTTTGTTCTGTTACCTTGATAATGTACTCTGCTCTGATAACATAAAGTCTGTGATTCAGAGAATTTTGTCAGTCCATGTTGTTCTTGATGTTAACAGAAAGATCCTACTAACAACACAAAAGACTCTGCAGCTTTGTGCTAGTTAAAACATGCAGAACGTGCTGGGCAATAATTCACTCATTTTATTTTCTAATACTGCTATTTCAAAAACAATTTATGGCATTACCACGAACAGTGGATTAGAATCAACAGATGCAGATAACTTTTGACAGCAGCGGACATTTCTTTGCTTGAAAAACTAGGTTTGTTTTTAATTTCTTACAGAGGATATATGAAGCTTGTTGCCCACAGGTCACTTCAAAGAGAAAGAGAGTAACAGATGAAAATGAAATACAAAGAATTTTGCCATTCTTTTCCTTGGACCTGACTTTGAAAATGCAGGCTAAGCCCATAAATTGTGTGCCCCTCTTAGAACTACAGCAGAAGCAGAGTAACTGCTAGTACATAAGCTACAAAAGAATATTAAAAAAAAAAATAAAAAGATCTCTTTTCCCTTTAACAAAAATCTGAAGTTTCAGAATTCTCACTGTTAAAGCCCAGTCTCTCCTCAGCAGAGCCCAAGCAACAATTCCTCTGCTTTCTAAGCCTCCATAAGAAGCAGTTTAGGAAGAAGAATTGCAGTTAAATTTCATAGCAAACAGGTTCAAAAATACAGATAGAAATAAATTACTGCCTCTAGTGAAATAAAAGGCAACGTTTTTTATATCCTTTTAGATGCAGCAAGTAAACAAGGATAAAAACATTTTTGAACAGAATGAGACAGCCAGTTGTAGCTGCTTCCCAATGCAAAAAGATCAAGTTGTTTTTTTTCTCCATATTGCCTCAGCGTCCATAGTAGACGCCAGCAGAGAGCCTTCCCAGATCTGGCCATTCTTATAGGAGAGTTCGTGTAAACCCTTTGAAAGGTTCACTGCAAAGCCAACACACCTGGACAAAAGTGACCATCACACCTCCTTTAACAGCAATAATATTTTTAAAAAAGCAAAAGAAAACCAATTAGAGAGGAAAATGTAAGACTTACTTACAAGATCATAGCCTTGGTGTATAAAACCAAATTTTAGGCACCTTCTCTTCTATTCTGTACTTGTTCCTATTTCTTCTTCTTATTCTGAAGCTGTATCAGCTTGAATTGTTTTCAGTGTTTTATTTGCCAGATATTTTTGAGTGGAAGTTCAAGAGCTGTAAAGGGGGATTCATTCTTTTCCCACCAAAGGCAAGGGTAACATTTCTGCTGTCTTCCCAGACCTGAACAAGCAGAGAGTGCAACGCTTATACAGCTGAGACATTGTTCATTATTCTCTTTAGCCTACAGTTTGTAGATCCTCTTCCCCTTCCTCATTCAAATTCACCTCTCAAAACTTTCAGAACCATGTAAAGACCTTTCTTCTGTCACACAGTTTTGACCTGGAATGAGGGACCATGGAGTTGTGGCCTGGCTCCAGCAGTTCCCTTCAGCTTCAGATGTGCATCCAAGCTGTGCCAGCTTCTTGCAGAACTACAACAGAATGTTCTCCTTTTTCATTATTGGATGATGTTTTCTTCCCTGCTACATGACCTAGTAAACGTCTTGAGCATTTCAATTCCTGTGGAGAAAAAATAAATTTCTAACATATACTGATCACAATCACAGAATCGTAGGGGTTGGAAGGGACCTCCAGAGATCATCGAGTTCAACCCCCGTGCCAAAGCAGGTTCCCTACACCAGGTCACACAGGTAGGCATCCAGGCAGGTCTTGAACATCTCCAGAGAAGGAGACTCCACCACCTCCCTGGGCAGCCTGTTCCAGTGCCAATCCCTAAATGCAGGAAGCAGTTTCATCTCTGTCTTCAGTGCAACAACTTCCACCTAGTGCGTGCCTGGGCTGTGCTACACTGCTAGCAGTTAGCTAAGGTTACCCTTCCATACATTAAAGAGTGAGTTATTTTGCAAGCAGTCTGCTTCAAAGCCACTCCAGCTATGCTTCAGCAAGCCTTCAAGACAGGCACATGCTTTTAAAATAGACAAATTGTGCTCAAGCTAATTCCACTAAATGCCATAATTTAATAATTACAATATATGCCATGGAGCCAAATTAGCATATAGATTATACAAATAGTTTGAGTCTATTTACATTATGATGCTTTGAAAATTTTAATGACTAACTTCAGAATAATTTTTTTTAAGTTTTATTTTGAAGCAAATTAAAAAAAAAAAAAAAAAAAAAAGGATTTAGTTGCAAAGTATGACAAATTTACAGCTGTCAAAAGCACAGTAAAAATGGCAGTCTGCCTTTATCCCAAACTGGAATTAAAATACAAGGCAAGTAACTAAATTTAGAAATGAAATACATACTTATACCTGCAGGACCCTGTCTTTAAAATCACTGCACAGGAAAGAGGCTGTTTTTTTCATTTTGCAATGTGTAATGATTTTTTTTTAGGTTATGGTGCCCATTTTCGGGAGATATGTCTGCTAACACATCCACTAGCAAAATAAATATGCTAAAAGGAGGAATGATGCCACACAAAGTAAAACTTTATTATATACTTGATTTTGGGTTGAAATGTCATTTTGAAAGAATTGTTAGCAAAGCCTTTCTACAAAATACAGCCAATTGTTAAGCTTTCCTAAATGATGCCATCCAACACCACAAAAAATATTTATTTCTCAATTGAAGCTACCATATGGGTTCTGTAATAATAAGATTCTCAGGTTATGGCTTCTCACCTTCATTAGCCACAGTCACTCATCACAGGAACACAATGAAACAATAAACCTTATGAAACTCATGAGTTATGAATTTCCTGGTAAGGTTTAATAATGAGAAAAACTTTGAAAACCAAGCAATCCTTGATCCAAAGTGTTTAGGAACCACCTATTGAAAAATCTATACAGATTAAAAAACAAAGGCATCCTTTCTTGAATTTTGAATAGTCTTAAAAAATTCTTAAGGAAATGTCTTTTTTGAGCAGCATTCTTAAATAATACTGTAGGTGATCATCTTACATTTATTTTCAGAAAGGTAAAGTAATAGGTATCTTCAAGTATGAATGACTTTCTTGTATCTCCTACATAGGCACCATCACACCAGGAGAGACCAAAGACAACAGGGAGAAAACAGTGAAGGGAAAGAGAAGTTCAAGTGAGTGCTGAATACTGGGTACAGATAGAGGGAAGGAGATGGGGAAGTCTGGAAGCTGTGGTCCTCCTCCCTTCCATCAGGGGAAATGGACTCTTAAGGCCATTCACACAGTTAAGAGAACACTTGAGGCTTAGTATAGGATCCTATGGACAGAATATCTGGGAAATGCTAAAGTACCTGTTGAAGAGAAAATATTACTGCAGAGAGCTCAACAGAAGACACTGAGACAGACTGGAGAATGAAAGGAATGGTATGACTCAGACAATATGTGGATGATCCTTAACTTTTAACATTTATGGAACTCTATTTAGAGGTCTCTACAGACTGTACTTTGCTTGCTTCAAAAAGCTTTATGACTAGAAATAATGTCATTCTTAGACTTATTTTATAGAGAGGAATTCAGGAGAGACAAGCTGAGCAATCTGCTTAAAGCCATTGAGCCAGTGAGCATCCAGGGCCTGCTCAAAAGAAATTTATTTGGGAATTGGGGCCAAAAAAGAATTTGGCATAATGAATTACAAAAGCAGAAGTATAGATACACTCCAATGGAAAAGAAAAACAAAACACTCCAAGAGCAAATAAACTGCCCAGGAAACAGCTTGAAGAATGTACTTGCTGTAAGGCTTGCTTAACTATTTATGTGAAAGCTGAAGTCTTCTTTAAAATAATTATTCTGATTTTGCTGAGACAACGTAGATGAGGAGAGAAAAAAGGTAGGTGGAGAAGTTGAAAAGAGGATTAACTGGACAGAAAAGAGAAAGCAGTATTGTCTGGCTCTTGGTTCTGAGTTCATCCTCGTGGCTGTGCTATCATCTGGAAAAATTCGAAGCCCTAAGAAGTAGAAATTGAACAGGTAGGTTAGAACAATATAGATGCCTAGCAACTCTTCATATTTCAGCCTCATCCTTAAACTCCGAAAGAGAAAAACGTCACAGACAAAAAGGAAATGAATTATGACTTGATTCAATGGAATGTAAATAGTAATTTGAAAACAAAGAGTGATGGGGTTTGTTGTGTCGTCACACAACATTCCTCCTGGATTTGAAATTTGCCAGCCACAGTTCCACCCCTTTTGAAGTCCAGCCTCCCTTCCTGGCTGTTTAGCCCAAGCAGCTGTAGGAGCTCCAAGTACTTTTTTCATCTGCTGCCAGGATGGGAGTGATATGGCTGCCCAACCCATCTCGGATTCTATGTTTTGCTTTTCATGTTACCTTCATTCTGTTTCAGCTAGCAACTGCAGAAAGAGAACTGAAGTTCGTGGTTGCAGTGAGTAGATTTGTTTTCTATTTAATTGTGGGATATGCAGGGAATTTGGTGTGTCTGTCAAGTCAAACAAGGTGTGCAGTTCTTTAGCCTCTCTTTAGACTTAAAAATACAACCTTTTTTTTTCTTACTAAATTTAAAGGCTTCTTAAGATAAGAATGCCTGTAGCTACAAGAATTTTCACCTCTTAATTCCTAGTTATTTTTCAGTGTAAACAAACCACGTCGCTTTGTGGTAGAGGCATAGTGCACAGGGGCACAGAGATCTTAAGTCTAGTTTATCTGTTCCATAGTCAGCCCTTGTGATCGTGGCCTACCTTCTTTGTGCTTGGAAGCTGAAGCTTTTGATGGTATAAGGTGCTCTGAAATTGCAAAATAGAAGTCACCATAAAAATGGAAGCAGTTGCTCAGAACAACTGAATCAGGAACTGAATCAGGATAGTGTACTAAGAAAAGGGCATTTTCTGTAGAGATCTGAGATGGGTGTTACATTTACTGTAGTTATTTTGAAACCAGACTGTAATTGTATTGTCCTGGTTCACTGCTCTTTTTAAAGTAACTGGACAGTACTTCAGCATCAGTTTCCTCCATAGCTAAAGTAAATGAGAGATTAATTCAATAAAGTATTTTGGATGGTGAAGGTTCCATCACAACCCTTTGCATTCCAATTGGGGCTTTCTTTTGTAATGAGAAGGGTATACTGATATAGAATAGTTAGTTTAAAGTGATATTTTCAACATAAAGTTTTGAGGATTTGAATTTACATATATAAATAGGAATTTTACTTTTAAGATGTTCTTCCACCCTTCTGTATTGGCTAGATTATGCAGATGTGCCACTTGGAGAGAGGCCAGAGTGCACCAGAAAAACCAGTTTCTATTCCTGCTGAGCCCTATTGCTCTATCAGACCCTAAAGAAGGCAGGGACTCGACGCTAACTAATTCCATAACGTTCTGTATATAGTAATATCCTTAAATGTTTCAGTGGTGAAAGGGAGAACTAGCTAGATGCAGGGGTCAATTCAGGCTGTCAGCATGCTTTGGAGAATTAACTCTCTGAAGAGAATGAGGCATTTACTGAATTGCAGTTACTGTGTGCTAACAAGCAATGCTACTGGAAAAAAAATAGTTACAGGAAAGGCTTGCCATTATGGAGATAAGATCCTTCCTATCCTAAATCAGCTTCTTTATCACACTTGGGCAGCTATCTTCTCCACCTACCCAAAAGAGAAGAAAAAAAAAAAAAAAAAATAGCACTGTATTTGATATGTACTCTATTTATGAATTATCAGAATTAATGTTAAAATTTGTATATTTAATTTTAAATATACATTTAAATGTCTTTCTTTTATCTTTGACACTTTTTCTTAGATCGACCAATCTAGCTGAAAAGTTACAATAGATTCAGCCTTATTATCAGTGTATACCTCCTTTCTCAAGGCATGGTTTCTGATTGCTCAATTCTGATTGCTCAAAAAAGAATTTTGTCTTCTAAATTCACAGATTGAATTCACATGTGATCAGAATTACTAGCAGAAACAGAAAGGGAAACTAATAGAAATTGGCCCCAGAACATTTCATTGACATAATGGGATAAAATGACAGGCTACAGTCGATGTAAGTCTACACCTTTCTGAGTTAATTCAGTGGCCGTTTTCCAGCTGTATTGTCTGTAAGTTGCTATGTAGTCACCTGAGAGTATTATTGCACTGTGAAAAAGTGTCATTAATGACTTTTAAGAACTTTCTTAGCAGAATTGCACAATATAAAACGCATCTGCTAGGGAGGGTGGAACCAAACAAATTCCCTTTTGCTCACTTCCAGATTTGTGCTGAATTGCTCTCTTCTCGCATCTTCCACCTTTGTGCTGATTTTGTGTGTTTTAATTATTAGCCACAAGTACTTTGTGGTGAAAAGCTGTAACACCAGCCAATTTGTCAAAATGCTGTTTCAGGTTTCCTCCTCACTTGTAGATATTAACCCTTACCATAATTCTTAGGCACCGACTTGGATGTAAGAGAAGGAAATAGCAACTATCTAGGACCATCAGGCATCCAGGTAGAAATGCAATACTGATCTATTGTCTCTCTGTAAAGAAGTTCTGATCTGTAACTTCTGCTTCCAGACAGGCACTCATTTCAGCTATCATTTACACAAAGAGGTGTGGTTTTGGAAGTGGTGTGATTTCATCATGCCTTTCCTCAGAACAGGATGTGCTGACTAAGGATGTTATCTATCTAATCAACACAAGCCATTTGAAATCTTGACTGAACATGCTCAGTATTTCTGCATCTATGATGGACTGGCAGCATGACTGGTTCCACAGATCTCCTGTTCTTTTCCTTCTTATTGCTAGCTGCAATATAAGAAATCTTGTTTGAAGTTGAGTCTGTCAATAAAAATTGAAAAAAAAACCTCCATGTGAGGTTCACTATTGTGCCACATTGTGCACTGCAATTAATGACGTTTTTGAATGAAGATGTTTTATACACATATACGTGCCATATTCTCAGCTTTCCCCTCATCTACCCTTGTTTTTCTTCAACACGATCTTTCATCTGACAACAATAGGAGCAAGTGCTGGCCAAAGTCTGAGTCATGTGGCCATTTTGATCTGATGTGTTCACCCTCAGTATGCTGTAATAAAGAATGGGAGAGCCGAAACATCAAATCAGCTTCAAGCTGCACTGGTGCTGAAGGAGAGGAAATTCTGCATCTTATGCTTTTGAGAACTGAGGTCATGTAAAGTGACATATTGAGATGCTGAAGTGAACACACACAGGAGGTGTGCTTTCCACTTTTCATGTGTATTTTCCTTGTGTTCTTCTCCTTCTTGTTTGTCTTTTCTCCTTATATGATGCCTCCTTCTTCCTTTTCTCTAATCCTGCCCTGTTGCAAGTCCTCTGACAGGTCAGGAAGACAATCTGTAACCCAAGAGTAACAAATTCTGCAGCGCACCAATATTTTTAATGTTACTGGAATGATCAGTTCCAAATGCAGAGTGTTGAAAAATACATATTGCTGATCAGGGCAGGCTTTGTAGGGATATGTTTTTCTTAACAGCATCAAGTAGTCTAACAAAGAAGACAAAAGGCCCAAGTTAAAAAAAAAAAAAAAAAAGTGTCCTGACACATAGCTGAATATTACTGATATTACTGAATGAGTTGGCCTTCTGTGTTGAGCAGCTGATGAGGTCATTATCTCATTTTCAATCATAACAGAAGCAAGGTCATTTTCAGAAGCAGCAAGGAAAAAAAAAGTTTGAACACAAACAAAAATCAGCTATCTGATAAGTTTAGTCTTTCAGTTCCTAAAAACAGGATTCTAGTCTTAGCAGTAGTTTTTGTTTCTTTCTTTTTACTTCCACGTTAGTGTTAATATCATATTTATGTGTCACCATACAATGCTGGTGCAAAAATTCAAATAAGGAAATGAACTTTTTTCTCTTTTGAGTAAACTTAAAGAAACTGTGCTGCTTTTTGAAGAGAACAATTCCCACTCTTTCCATTTCTCAGTGTTAAAAAGAGAGAAAAAAAATCTTTTCCTTTAGATTGCCAGCTCCCACATATATTCTTATATTCACAAAATCACATAATCACAGTCGTGGGGGTTGGAAGGGACCTTAAGAGATCATGGAGTCCAACCCCCTGCTGAAGCAGGTACTGGCACGCTACTGGCTCATGGCCAACCTGTTGCCCACCAGGACGCACAGGTCTTTCTCCTTATATCATATATTTGGATCCTTGTTTTTGCCTTCTCACCTCTGATCAGGTAAAATGCTACCTTGTTCTGGCTTATTGAATGTTTTTCGGGGTTGACTGTTGTGACACTGAAATATACACAGCAGGTTGTGTTGCATATTAAGTGTAAAGCATCACAAACTAGTATTTCAAATCTAACACATTTTTAGACTAATGAAAAAGGCTCACTTCTGGGCCAGGTTTTGATTTGTTACTATATATTGCCTAAAAATAGCAATCTAATCGTGTCAGTTTGAATAACTGTCAATTACGCATTAAAATGATTTTCTGTTGAGTTGGGTAATTTAACAAGAAAGTACACAGCTACATTTTAATTGGGAATTTAACCTTCATTCTTTACAGAGACATCAGGTTGTTCAGAAAAGCTAATTAATGCTACATGGCAATGTAGTATATCAGCATGTCAAAACACTAGAAATAAGCGCTAACACAAAAGTCCCCTCACTCATTTCTCATGTCTCCAACTGAATCGAGGACCAGACATTGTACCTCTTTGCCTGTTCTGCTGTTTTCTACAAGTTCAGTGAGAAATGATTACAGAAAATGAACGGAGATTCCAGACTAGTGAAAAAAAAAAAGCATGTACAGAATTAAAAATTGCATACAGAGATAAAAATAAGATATTTAATAATATTTTATGAACTATTTTGCTATACTTGAACTCAGAATTATCTTCTTTTTTTTTTAACTCAGCAATTCATTATTAATCAAATATTTTATTGATGCTAGTAAAAAAAATGACTTCTTGATTTAATGAGCAGTATTTATTTCAGGTTGACCACATTTTCAGTGGAGTTCAACTAGCAAATGTGGCACTGGCAAACAAACTCATGTCACTGATGTATGGGAAGAATGATGTGGCTTAGTTAGGCAATGGGGAGTACTAATTATAATCAAGTTATATATCACTATATCAGTGTGTTATTATGAAATAAATGACACTTTATGAACAAATATACCACACTTTCACATTGACTTTTTTTTTTCTTCTTCAAAATCAGGAATTAATTTGGTTATTTGAACATTGATACAAGTGAAGGTAACTGTTTCAAGTTTGGACCAGCATCCCTGGACTATTGCCTGGAACCCTATGAATTTGTATTCCAGTGTTTCTTTCCAGATGAAATTTTTGTGGAGTTCATTTTTTAAGTCTGTACATGGCATATTTAGGGAGAGTAAGACAGACATTTTCAGAGCTATTTAACTGGGAGTTGGTACTTTCCTTGTATGGTGGAAGAAAGATACTAGAAGGCTCACTTAAAGTTTCTTGATGTACAAATCGTGTGACTGCAAATATCAAACTAACATTCACCATGCTGGAATGTCCAGCCAACCAAACTATTTGGTGTCTCTCAACTCTACAGGTGTCACTGAAGTTAACAGGAAAATTTAAAGATGCTTTCTTAAATATTCTAGTAAATACGTGTAAAAATAGCAATAAATATTAAGTAAGCTAAAAGTGTAATTGATAAACTTTTACTTCTTTACATTATGGTATGAGCACGAAATTAAACATAAGAGTGCCTTGAAGGTAACACTACAAAAAAAGTAGTCTATACAATTTCAAGTGCAGTGCCAAAGTAGTTAAATCCTCATATAAGCACACCAGGAACTGTTTTTAAATTTGGAGTGGTCAAGTGACCAAAATTTAACCAAGCTTCTTGTATAGATGCCTAGCTATGAATGTAATCTGGGCATTGGCATTTTGGCTCATTAGATTTCTGAGTTCTAAATGAAGGAACAATCAGGATCATGCCCCCTGAACTCCTATATAGAGTATCTATTTTTCTGTGTAAAGAACGTACTCTAATCCTACTTGACTAGGTTGCTGCTTATTTTCTAATATTCATATTTGAAAAATGGCACTGGAAGTAAAATTGTGTGATTGTTCCTCTAGCCAGGGAAGAATGGAATGCTAGCAGTAATTGATTTGCTTTGTTAACGTGAATTTTATTAGGTTTTCCGGCATGGTGACCGATCACCTGTTGTAAACTTTCCAACTGATTTACACAAAGAAAGTGAATGGCCCCAAGGATTTGGACAACTTACCAAGGTATGTTAATTTCACTAGTAGCACTTATATATGCTACAAAAATAGAAAGTGGCCAGATTTTGATGTGTACTCTGCAAACATCAGCAAATCCCAAATACTGACAGTTGCCATTAGCAATCCTCAATAATTCATAAATGTTTGTGGAATATTATTCATCCAGCTTCTGTTAAACTGAAGTCTTATTCATCATAGCTACATAAATACCTTCTTACAAACAACCGCTTCCTGAGAGTTTGTCTGCCTTCAAACAAATGACAAGCTTAAAGATTATCCATGATCAACCATCACTGAAGTTCTGATGACCACTAAACACTGGGATCTATATTAGGATTAATTAATTATACGTGCACACCAGGTCAAGTGATGAATCCGTATTTTGTAATTTTACTAGCATGCACCTACCCACAAAGAAAGGCAAGTCTTGTAGGAGAAAGCTGCGTCTGGGGACAGTGTGTCTTTTAATGAGACTGCCTTCAGCCCAGAGCTTCAGTAGGATATGCTGAACCTACTTAACATCAAGCCTTAGCTCTTTAGCTGTATTTGACATATGCAAATGTGGAGCAAAGAGCGGCCAATGCATTCTGTAGCAATACATCATCATGATGCAGAAGCATGAATCAGAGACAATTCAGTATTTATTATTTGAAGGGAGGCTTGAAAGATCGATAAAATTCAGGCAGTCAGAGAACACGTTATGATCTCCCTGCAAGGAGCTTATAATATAATAAAAAATTTAACAAAAAGTTGCTGCTTTGGCATAGATTTTAGGGGGAGCTCTTTTTCTATTCTATTATCTTTTTATCAACCATAATAAGAATGTACTTCTCTGACAGCTAAAAGTTAAAGTTCTGCTCAGAGCATTTGAAATGAATAATAGAAAAGAGAGCGTGCAGTGGAAGACAACTGCAATTGTACCAAACCAAAGGGAAAACAGTTATTTAAGACACGTAATGTAAACCACAAATTAATCAGGTTGATCAAATAGCATAACAATGACAATAATGAACACAAGTTTATCGATCTTCCTTTTTCAGATGTCATTAACAGACATATTCTTTAGTGTTGATTATTAATATCTCCAGGAGCATTTACAGAGCTACAGCACTGTGGAAACAGTACTTTGTACAGAATCAGGTTCATTGCCTGTTCTGCAATAATGCTGGAGTCTTAAAATCTCAGATTGGTTTCTTTTTTCATAAATATTTATAAGCATTTCAGTTAAAAATTCTTTATCACCCACAAAATGCAGTATGTTGTACAAGTCGTTAACAGTAATGTACAAAGAAATTGCTGAAGATAAAAAAGAAAATAGAAAAGAAACATATTTAACATTCTCCAGTCATATTAATCTAATTGCCATCTGTATGCTTGCCTCACAGACTGGAATGCAGCAGCTCTTTGAACTTGGACAGTACACGAGGAAAAGATATTCAAACTTTTTGAACAGCACATACAACCGGAAAGAGGTATAAAGCAGAACTTGTCTGTAGGACAATTATCTGAAATAGCAGAATGTTGGACTCTGTACAAAAAGGACATCATCATATTTCTTTCATTAATGCAAAATCCAGGTAACAGAAGAACCTTAAAAGTCAGACTTTATGTCAAGGTGAAAACATGGAGTCGAGACTTTAACTTTAGGCTTCTACATTCAGTTTGAGTATTCCACTGACCAGTTTTCCAGGCTTGAACAGCTCAACACCATCTAATAAATTGGATATTTATCCATAGTGACCTAATATTTTTCTACTCTGTTTAAAGATGAGTATATATCTAGTAATGCGATGAGCCATGTTCACGTGCGTCATCCTGTGAACAAGAAGTCTCCCAGTTGTTAGAATGTGCTTGTCACATAGCACAGACTCACTGAGGGGAAACAGCACTACTGTTTTGGTCAGTGTCTGAGAGATGCAATGATGAGAAAGTATAAAAGACTATACCTTTGCCATGTCTTCAAGAGAAGTTTTATTACCCACTATGGTTAAAAGTGCCTTCATCCTTGAGGTACAGCAGGTGCATCAGTGTAACCCTAAACATCAGAAAATGGAAAGCTTCATACTTTTAGAACATATGTTCTTGTTCTTTTTAGTTCAGATGGAAGGTTAGATTCCAAAGTTAAAGATGCACTGGCAATTTCATTTATGCAAATGTAGTAGAGCCTTAGAAAGTTGTGTTATGGTTTCACTGCTCTGATTCTATGCGAAAGCAGAAGTGAAAACATGAAGCCAGGATTGTTGAGTTGTTTCCTCTTTTTTTTTTTTCTTTTGTTGTTGTTTGTTTGTTTTTATTGTTGCCATTTATTTACTAACTCTTTGCCATTTCATTCTCAGTTCTATATCCAAAGCACAGATTTTGACCGTACCATTATGAGTGCCCAGTCATACCTTTCTGGCCTCTTTCCACCAACAAGCAGTCAAATTTGGAACCCTGAGCTCCTCTGGCAACCAATTCCTGTTCATGTTGTAACAAAATCAACAGATCGGGTGAGTATTGTCTGGATGCTTCCTATAATGCCTTAGGATTTCTCCAAGGGTTTTTTTTTTTTTTTTTCCTTTTTTCTTTTTTTTTAAAGAAGACTATAGCAAACATTTTATATTCTCTTTGAGTTCAATCTGATAGAGAACATCAACCATAGCTACTGGCTGACACACATAACTTAAAGTGTAATAGCTGCATGAAAATAAAATCCTCACTCTTGACACATTGCAGAATACCTGATGTGTCAACCACACACATTTTCATCAAGCTCCAACATTTCTCCTGAAAAGGACATATTTGGACAGTATTACAAGGAAGCTGTCCAAAAACAGCATAGAGAGGAAGTGCTTTTCTGAATATCATTCAGCTAGATAACATTCCCTTCCTTAGCAAGTTGATTCTTAGTATATTAAGGAATGGGATTTACATCAGCCACTGTAATGACCTCTCAATTATTACTTTCCTGTTCTAGTAGCACTTAGGCACTCTAATTACAGACAGGGGTCCTTTTATGCTGTACAAACACTTAATGAAACTAACATTTCCCGTACAGTTTGTAATAAGAGCAGTCCCATCTGAATGATTGGTCTTCTCGAAGTTTTGCTGTAAGCAGGTCTTCCTGCTGACTCAGGTTTAGATTTTAGTATCACTGGCACCTGTGACAAGGAAAAAAAGGTTGTTGTGCTCAAAAGCAGCTACAAGGAGAAGGGGTTTCCACAGAATTGATTGGGCACAGTGCAGTTCAGCTTGAAATTTGCCTATGTTCCTAAACAAAAAAGAATATTGTCACTGTTATTTAAATGAGGAATACTAGGGGCAGTTCTCACACCACAGGACATGTAAAAGCATCAGAATGGCCAGAGCCTTATGTATATAAAATCTCACAGTCCTTACGGGTGTCTAGGGGTACCACAGTGCCATGACCTGTTTGGAGAATGCAAGCTGATCTGTAGGACGGCCTGGTACCCCCTCACTTCTGAAGCTGCTTCAGAAATGGGTATTGATGTTTCACAGTGTGTGATGAAACCTCACTGAATCAATTCAAAATTCTTGCTAACTATGCAAACCACCTGAAAAAAAAAAACCACTGTTGTCTTGCCAAGCCAGACAGACGTTTGACAGTGTTTTCAAGCCCCAAGCAACACAAAATGGGAAATTGAGGCCAAGTACAATCCTGAAGAAAAAAAGCAACAACCTAATCACAGTTCATTTTTCAGCCACTGAGATCTCCCAAGACCTGACAGGCAGCAGCACTGAACACTGTTTAATGAGGCCAAAAGGAGTGGCTTAATTAATAAGACCTAGAGGAGCATAATTAAGCCATACAGAAAGAGAAAGATTTGTTATTGTGTAATTAAACAACATTCTCCAGCTTCATTTTGCAGAGAAAATGCCCCCATGGAAGTGTGTCCAACTGAAAGTGTACTACTGTCAGTTGGTGGCTGCTGCAACGCCTCATATTTATAAAACAAAAAGAGAAGCCCTTTATTTACAGTCTGCTGTTGTTCATCGAATGGCAGAGCAGATCTTCTTCCTCTTTCAGTCCTACACAGGCAATAGATATTCAAATTTAGTGGCTTTTACTAAGAGCCCCTGTACAGGGAATTTTTCCACTGTATGTTAAATAAGTTCCATTACACAGTTTGTATTGTTGCAGGATAATATTACTGCAGGGTCAAAAATGCTTCTGATGTGGCATAAATTGGTGAATTTATTTTTTCTCACTGTAATTTTTTGCTGACAGACCTCATTAGGTATCATCTGGATTAGATGCTTCTGCAACTGGCGTAAAGCATATATTTGCCAGCACACAGTTCAGTACATATATATGTATTTATATGTGGTTCAGATCAAATACGTACTATTAGGTGACCTCATATTTCATAGACTAGGGTTTATTAAATATGAAACCATGCCCCCAAACAAGAACAGAGCTATTAGACTCGTGTTTTTTTGATATTTCAGGAGCACAGTTTATTTGTCACTCATATTTCAAGTTCTGTCCATTAAGTAGTTACTTAAAATGCTTACCATAATGCAGTACTTATCTCCAAAAAGCTGAAAGCAGCATGTGTATACTAAGAGGTAATTCAGTAGGTGGGGTCAAGCAGCATCTCCCAGGGATTCAGAAATTAAGAGGGAAAGGCTAGCTTTTTAAAATTCCTGATTATGGAACTCTGATCCATTTCAGAAAACAATCCCCTGACACACGTGTAACTGCTTCCTGTCAAAATTGGTTAAATTGATGGAAATCCAGCAATCATGGTCACAAGTCCATTTCCTTTGTTAAAGAATTCATGAACAAGGCACCCAAACAAACTGTTACTGAGTCGCTGTAGCAGGGCCATGAACTTATATCACAAATATTACATCAGAAATCTCAGCAACAGAGAAACTAGAGATGCGTTCATTAGTTCTAAAACTATTTTAAGTTTTGCTTCTCTTGTTTCAGAAGCTGCTTTTTCCTCTGCGTGGCTGTCCGCATTTTGATGAACTTCAGAATGAAACCCAAACATCTAGTGAATTTCAAAGTAGAATACAACCATACATGGTGAGACTAAATGAAGAGGAAATGGAAAAGGACTTTAAAACAGAAAATTTAGATTAGACATTAGGAAGACAATCTTTGCTTTGAGGATGATGAGGCATTGGAACAGGCTGCCCAGAGAAGCTGTAGTTACACCATCCCTGGAAGAGTTCAAGACCGAGTTGGATGGGGCTTTGGGCAACCTGGTCTAGTGAGAGGTGTCTGCCCATGGGGAGTGGAACTAGGAGGTCTTTAAGGTCCCTTTCAGACCAAATCATTCTATGATAGCAGAGCACTAAAGCAAGCCCAATCAGGCAAACACTCTAAATTTATTTCAGAGTTGCATTTTAGGTCCATCACAAGACCTACAATGACTTACGTTTTTAACCAAACACAAAACTTCACAGTCAGTGTTCCTGAATTTCCCATTGCAGTGCTGCAGAAGAATGTGGATGTACAGATAACATATCTGTCTCATGCAACTGTGTGGACAGAAAATGCTCTGGACTGTGGTCACTGGTGTCACTGCTGTGCTGGTGCACTTCGTAATGGCACTACTGCACAAATGAAGCAGGAGTCTTTTGTTTCCCTTACCCTGACATTCTCTCTAAGTAGCTGCAGGCTTCCTGCTTATGCTTGTTGGGCTAAACCCAACATTTTCTATTTTTATTTGCTTACATCTAAATTTCTGCTAGCTCAGCCACTTCAGGCAGACTCATTCACCTGCCAGAGAGGTGAATTAAAACTAAATTGCAGTCCTCTCTCAACTACCAGCATGAAACAGGCAATGTAGAAATAAGGAATATTATCCACTCCCTTTATTCTTCTGTGGTATCACAAACAGTAAGAATCCTCTTGGGAACTGCTGTGGACCTATTACTTAGACCCTCAGCCTCCTTTCAATAGGTGAAGGAAAGTGTAGTTTCCTCCTCAGCTTCTTTTTACCTCATCCCGAGTATTTGCCTCTGTTTTTTGTTTTGTTGTTGTTTTTTTAGTTTTCCATTTTCCCCTCGCCCTTTATTTCTCATCTTCCTTTGTCTTGAGTGCCACCTTCTTCTTTACTTCTGAAGGGTGGATGAGATGCAGGTAGCCTCCTGGAGCCGTCAGGAGAAGAGAAGAAGGTAGCAGCAAGAATACCAGACATCCATAGTAAAGCTGAGCAAAAACCGGTGTCTGAAATAGAAATCAGCATCCCAAAATTGTTAAAAAATGAAAACTTCAACCAGAATATTCCTTTATAGGGATTTCATGTGTGTAACATTACATTAAACATTTGCATGTTGTCAGGTTGGAAGCTAGTGAATCTGTATGCATGCATGTTCTGTATGTACTGAGTATTTGTGGTGGTTTTTTTCCCCCCAGGATTTTTTGCAAACAATGGCAGTTAACACAGGACTTGAACTAAATAATCTGAAAATACTGGACAATTTCCAGCTCTGGAATACATATGATACACTGTACTGTGAGGTAATAACAATGCAATAAGTGTTATAGAAAAAGTGTTTAAGAAAATAACTCCAATATATGTTTCAGTTAAACAATATAAATGTGGTTCCTTAGAAAAGAATTACCCTCTATCCTGAATTTGCTTATTTTTTTAACTTTGAATCTAAATCCTCATTTAGTGCAATGGTGATAGATACTCCAAGAACATAGCTTACAGCTTTCAAAACTGTTGTCTTCTTTTGATGTTTTACCATAAGGAACTGATACCAGAATCTACTCCCTTTATTCCTTTTCTTTTTTTTTTTTTTTTTCCCTTTCAAATATGTTGCTGTATATTTTCTTTGAGCATGCTGGCTGGGTCATATTGATTTTTAACAAGAAAATGATTATTTTTTTTTAACCTATTAAAAGGCAAATATCAAAATGCATGCATATTGAAAATAAAAGGTAAAAATTTGTTCTGTAAGATAGAAAACTGATCGCTGCAGTGAACAGAGTCAGACTGGTCCCCAGCATGGGACTGTTCTGTATTTTAAGACACAATCACTGTTACGTGACAGTAGAGTGACACTTGTCTGTAAGTGATCAGTGATGTGTTAGAACCACTGTATGGAAAAGGCGGGACAATTTGGAGCTAGATTCTACCCTGAAGGGCCACTATTAGGGGACAGGAAGAGGGTAAGACATGTGCCTGCAATTTGTCACACTAACAGAATAAAAAAGTGGTACTGTTACAGTAATAATACATGGTGCCTCACAAGAGATTACCTCAGCACAGATGATTGCCCACTTCCTGTTCATCCACTTCAGGTTGATCCCTGTTTCCACAGAGGGTATTTCATGGAATGCTGGTGAGAAAAACCATAATGGACAAAGATATGCAGGACAGCCTCAGAGAGTCCAAATGTAGTAGTGTGAGGCTGGGCAATAGAAAGATGGGAATGTAATAAAAAAACATTGCTTTCCTTTCTCACTAGAGTATTCACAATTACTCTCTACCTGTATGGGCCACCAAAGATACAGTGGGCAAGATGGAAAAACTGGCAGAATTGGCCTTATTATCACTATTTGGAGTTTATAAAACAGAAGAGAAATCACGACTACAAGGAGGTAAATAAAAAATGCTTCACTCCCAGAAAGAATGAGAAAATGCCTGTAACAACATAGAACATCCCGTCACCTTATTTATGAAAAATTACTAATCACAACATTGGTTTGTAACTGTGGACACGTTAAATGTGATAACATATGCTGAATATGGGGATTTGCATGGGTTAGGCATTAAAAAAACAGGTTTACATAAACATAAATGTCTTTGTTATCCTATAGATTTTTTAGGAAATTAAAATTTTGAGGAAAAAGAAACAAGGAAAAAAATTTAAGACATCATTGGTATCTTTACTTCTCTGATATTTGTTTAGATTAAGTGTAAGTTCCTTTTCCCCAATATTTATTTTAGATGTTTCTTGATCTTTTTTTTTTTTCCTTTGATGCACTGTTTTTATATTGTGCCAGAACCTTAGCAGCACCCTGATAGCTCTCTCAGAACCTGATGTAAAGTTGCTTCAAAACAGTCTGATCAGAGTGGAAGATGAGAGATTCAAGTTATATTTCTACTGCAAGAACTAACACTTCTGCTTCGCTCCAGATTTGGGTGCACAAGCTACGCACATTCTGACTATACAGCAGCATAAGACACAGGCATTCAGTGTATGGTTCACAGGTATCCATGAGCAGGAAAACTGGACAAGTGAGCTTGAGTATCCAAAGTCTGGACTGTTTGGGGCTATGCTTTGCAATGCACCTACTCGACAGTCTAGACCTAGTTAAAGATTAGCAACCTCATTATCTAGGCATACACATCACTGGGTCAAGCCATTAAAAATTACATGCTCAGATGTGAAGTTCGCTAGCTGGCAGCTGACCATAACATGAGGTCAGAACTTCTTTTTTGTGTTCTTTTTTGTGCTTTTCCCTTAGGATGGTATAACTTGTGCTGAAAGGAATTTCAGCTACCCTTGTTCTATTGGCTTTGGTGTGTCTCTGGTTTGGACAAGAAGTACAAAAGGTCTTCGATAAAATCAAGAATTGATACTGAGTGACTTGTGAAAGTAAATAGTCAAAAATATTTCTTCAGCATCTAGAGAGGAAGTGGCTAGTGCAGCTGTCATTATTGCAGCACTCCAAAGAGATAAAAAACAATGGAGATCTCAGCAGAACAAAGCTGGAAGTGTCATTGGCCATAAATCTAAAGATCATTCTAGCTGATTTCTGTAAATCCAGTCACTTCAGTTGGCCTGGATGATGAATGATACATTTAACCTTCCTTTGCTCTGTTTTCTCACTAGTTGTGAACTTGGGATGAGCTAAAAAATGAGTATGAGATCTGAGTAGATGTGTTCTGTTTGACACTCAAAACCCTTTACTTTTTTTGGTTGTATGCAAATGTTATATCTTCATTTTCCTCTTCCTTTCCCCTCCATCTTTTTAAGGTGTCCTTGTGAATATTATTTTAAATAGTATTAAACAAGCTACCAATTCCTCAAAAGAAAGAAAAATGGAGGTCTACTCTGCAGTAAGTATCCTCACTTTTTATAAAAATTTCTGCAATTTCACTAGTAAAAAGCTCTGAAAGAAAATAATCAGTCTCCATGTAAGTTAAATGAGTAAATATAGTTCAGTTCAGTTATACAATCCAATTCAGCTAATAAGCTCAACCCAGGGCAGTATCAGAATATAGCAGGACAAGGCTCACACCTGTTTCAATCAAACTGTACGTGGTAAAGATATCTGTGTATTATATCCTTTCATCCTGCGATTTTTTGTGCAGTTTATGTAAGTTGCATCTTGCCTTAAGTGCTCCTTATCCAGAGATGTGGATGCACAGCAGAACTCCAGCTTTCCTTCCAAACGCTTCCTCTTCTTAGAAAAGGATAGTACATTGAATATTCTTTCTTCTTTCTTTTTTAAAATTCCACTTCATGTTGTTTTAGAGGACACAGAGGGCCGTTTGGGTCAGATCAAGGTCCACTCAGCTCATACATTATCCTGTCTCTGTCAGTGGGCAGCAGCAGGGAAGAGTGTGAGAATAATGCCAGCATGGGGTGATGCTTTCCCTGATGCAACCTCTCAGCAAACTGTGGTTTATGGACTTCCTGAGTCAGAGTCTTTGTCTATGCTTTTAATAACTCTCAACAGACATTTTTTCATCAATTTATCTAGTTGCTTTTAAAATTCATTTAGCTTTTGGCATCTGCAACACCCTGTGGCAATGACTTCTAAACTGGTGTGTTAAAAAAAAAGTACTTCCATATTTATTTATTTTTCAAAACTTTATACTGATTTAACTCCCTCCTAGCATTTCTATTGTGGCTAAAAGAGAACAGACATTCTTTATTCACTTTCTCTGCTTCATTTATGAATGTACTATTTTCTGTCTCGTTTCTTCCATTTTTCCTTTCCCTAACTGCTTTAATCTTTCCTTTTTTAGGAGCTGCATAACACCACAACTTTTTCTGGCTGCCTTTTCTGTGTATTTTCTAGATCTACTATATTCTTTTTGAAAAGGAAGTACAATATGCATCCAGAATTTTCATTGCTGCTTTAAAGCCTTGGGACCATATATACCCTTATTTTTGAAACTGATTACTCTAGGAAGTTCAAGATCTTGCATAATAATTAAAATGCAGAAGTTAGACTATAATACAGAGAAGAGGGACTACAATACAGAAAAGAGGTAATGGGGAGAGGAAGAGACTGCAGGTGGATGATTGAGGTTCACTGATTGTCAAAAATAGAAGCCAAACTGAGATTTTATTGTGTAAGTCAGAACAGAAGAAACAGTAGTTTAAAAAGTTCTGAGTATATGGAGGTGAGGAGAAACAATCTTTGCGTGCAAATATTTTGTACAGTATTTTTCAAAGGACTTGGATTTTAATTTGAAATGCCCTCAAGTATACTGCCCTGTACAGCCTTAATCTGTTCTTGGAACCAAAATTCATTCCTGAGGGCAAGGATAGCAAAATGCCTGGAAAAAAAGGATTTATTTCGCAGACCAAATCATGCTTTCCCTCATTATTTCTTCTTAAGAAAGTATTGCCAGAAGATGTCAGATACATACTGCAGTACTCTATGGAAATGGCCACTGCTGTCTGAAGTAATCTGTAAACATTTTGCCTGATAATGAATACTCTGAATGCATTCTGACAGTCAAATTTACACAGGTTTCATTTTACCTGGATTTCTACCCCCTCTCTAGTCTTTCCTCATTACTCTCTATAAATGGTAGTTCATTTTACTGAATTTCAGTAATGGTTTTGTTTGATTTTTTTCCCTAATAGCATGACACCACAATTGGGGCCATCCAGATTGCTCTCAATATTTTCAATGGAAAACTGCCACCATATGCTGCTTGCCAGTTTTTTGAACTCTACCAAGATAACAGCGGGCAAGTATCCTCTTACCTATGTAAGAGTAAGGAGTATTTAGAAGTTGGTTCCCTTTTCCTGCACATCATTTTCTCTCATATACTCTGAGGGGATACAAATTTGCTTTAAACTGGTATTTCACTGAGTAGCCAAAACAGGCACAAAAGTTATATTAAAACAGGAAAAATCACATTTGTTGGATATGCATATATCTGTGTGCTTTGAGACACCAGAAGAAGAAAACAGTCCTTACCAACTGGAAGCAAATGGTAAATCAAACTTAACTGTTCAAATGGTAGCAACATCTCCCAGGTATCTCACAAATCCCAAGTAAACCAGAGGGTTTAGAAGAGACAAAAGGCTTCAAAAGGACCTTCTGATCTGACTGGTGATCTGTGTGGTAACTGTCTTTGGCAAACTGTCTTTCATATGTCTCTTAGAAAACCTCCATTCTTCAAGAATGGGTTCTAGAGTAGGGTGCTAGAACCTGTTTGCAACATTCTGCCTGTTGGAAATCTTTTATTCAAGAACTTTTATTTAAGTTTTTAAAAAATCTTCTCAATTTCATTAATCAGGCGGTACAGCATTGAAATGCATTATCGGAATGACTCTTCAGTGGATCCTTACTTACTCACTCTGCCAGGATGCACCTCTTCTTGTCCACTTGAGAAGTTTGCTGAATTAGTTTCTCCTATAATTACCGAAAATTGGTCAAAAGAATGTGGGAATAAAGACAGAATGAAAGGTAGTGTAACAGCACTGAATTTTCTGAGTAAGACATGGAAGCAGAAATTGTATCAATGGCCACAAAATTTGTATCTTCCACGTGATAGGTTGATCTCCCTTTAACAGATGTGCACCAGCTTTACTATGGGTGAAGAAAGCAGATTAAATTAAATTTCTGTAAGGATGTAAAGGATAGACTTGTTCGACAGTAGAAATGCAGTGCTATTATTATGATTATGATTATGATTATTAGCACATTCGCATGGGGAGCTTCCATCACTGCAAGTATACAACAGAAATAGAAGTCATATAGGTGCTATGCAAGGAGTCCTGTGTATGCTGGATTCATCAGAGCTTCTGTAGATGCAAAACATAAATGGCTTGCACATGCACAGTAAGATTTATGCATCTGAATCTCTGGCACATGTACTATAATACCTTAGCTTTCACTGTACACATGCAGCGCAGTTGATCTGTGCAGTCAGAGCAGCTGTTTTTCTTGAACTACCAGCAGCTGACAGCTGATAACCTTTGCCAAATTCCTTTCTTCCTTCCTGAATGTTATTTTCAGGAGGTCAAGGCACCAACTGCCACGTTCCATTAGTCATAGTATATTTCTCCCATCCTGAATATATTCAATGTTTTGCTGATCCCTGATGAAACTCTTGGTTTGCATTAACTACATACAAGATGTCTGTCACTCCTCCCCTGTGAAAACCTAGAAATAAGATCTGGCCATTCTCAGGAAACTGCATGTGCTTTCAGGATTAAGGTGTATGTTTTCAAACTTAAATGTAACACAGACTACGAACCTTGATATGAATATGAAAGTTCAACTATGAAAACATTTCCATAGTACATACTTTTCATTAGACTGTTATCTCTGTATGTAAGATAACATACACACATGTCTCTCCTTAACACTCTTCTCCTTTGTTTTTTTTTCTTTACAGATATCTATATTGGATTTGATGTTGCCGTTGGCTTGTTGTTCATATTCAACCTTGTTCTACTCTATCTCCTTTATCACTATGGACGCTGCAGGCGCAGAAACAATTACCAAGACATTTAAAAAAGAGGTGAAGAGATAAAAGTGAGCAGCTAGACATCAGGCAATTCTTTAAATTGCTCTGGCTTGTATCCATCAGTTTGCTCTGGCCAAATACATCTCCAGAGCATATTCCACAAACTTGAAGAGCTGAGGTTTCACTCCTAAAAGACTGAGTATCTCCAGTGAGAAACACTGTAGGAAATTATTATTAAGAATATAAATTGGTAGGAAGAAAGAATTACTTCAGTTCCTACCTCCAGGTTTTTCACTACTATTAAACATCATTAAGCCAGCCATCCATGAGGGTAAAGGAGTACTGTTGCTTATGATTTTTTATTTTTTTTTGCTTTTTTTGGGAGTGGGAATTGCCCTCTGCTCCTCCCTTGTCCTGCTCAAGGAGTCTTTTTTCAAAAATCACAAATTATAATATCTTTCTTACTTCTTATAAACAACTGTTTTGATGATGCACAGGAAAATGTTTTCAGTGAGCAGAAGCTGCAATTACCGTGTGAAAAATATTGATACCAGCACTTGAACATACTGTTTATTTTTATTACGTTTATTCATGCAAATCCATGCATGGGTTTACAGCTTGGCCTCCAGCTAATAAAAGCCCACTGCCTGTTTTTAAAGGAGTTATGCTACTACAGCTCTCAGAGAAATTTGTAGAAATCTGGGGGGGCTGTCACAAAAATCAAGCATTAACCAAGAAGCTTAGTGCAACAGGATCTTTGTCAGTGTCCACAGATTTGCTAATACAGATAAGTAAATACACTGAAATCTATTTGCTTTGGCAGTGTTCTCTTCTTACTTTGCTGAGCTCCCATTTATGGATGACGCTTTGCCCTACTCCTCTGATGGGTCTGTATCCTGTCCTGCTTCAGGACTCTCAGCCATGCTTCCTCCAGCTATTGCTTTCCTCATTATTTTAATTTACAATAACTTCTTGTCCTGCTCAAAATCCCTTAAGTTAGTAATATATGCACTAGAAGAAAGAAGACAATTCTGCTTTACGTATATTGATCTCTTCTGTGAAATATATTGTATTTGTTTAGATTGTGAGCTCCTAGTGGTAGGGAATCTGTTACCGTAATTGCTCTCTAGTATCATAAACTACGATTATATGCACTGATGTTGTTGTATGAAATAGTGCTTATTGCCATATGTTTCAAGGGCTGAATCAAGATTTTCATCCTGCAGTCCTGCAGAGGATACTGTGCATTACATTACCATGAGGAAGCCGTTTGAAAAATCAAGACATTTATACAGACAAGTGCCAACAGCAAGTTCAGCCTGATAGAAACACTAAGCAATTGTGTGCTCAAGATGATGACTTCCACATAGGTGCAGAAGTCTAGAGATGGAGCTGCTTAAATCACATACAGAATCACATCTATGATTTGCACTGTTTCTGGACTGACTTTAGCACACATCTGTGTGCTGCGATTTGGAACACAGAAGCTTGAGTCAACTACTACAAATCTACAGAATTCCTCAGTATTACATCAACAGACATATTTCAAATGGGATGTAATTAGATGTATGGATATTAAATGGCATAAGTCAAGCAAAATTACAAATACTTGTGGGAATACAGGGCTTTCCAAACATCACTATTTTTTCCTGCAGAGGTATTCACCTTTTGAAGAAATATTTCCCACTCAGCAAAAAGCTTTTGCTACTATCCCTGACATTTCCATTTCATCCATTTTAAGTGGTGGATTTGATTCCTACATGGTAAAGATTTTTTGTTGTACAACAACTCAGGGTAAAATACTCAAAAAAAAAAAAAAAAAAAGAAAAAAAGCTATCTGTAAATCAGATGTTTTGTATGTACAAGCTTCAGATTTTAACTAGTTGCTCTGATCCTCACTGCAAAAACTTAATTGTTTATGTTGTAATCAGAAGTGTTAGAGAAGCTCTACAGAACAAACCTGAACTGGTTTCTTAGCAGTGGACTCACAGTAGGGCAGAGCTCAGCACAAACTGCAAAACAGATCCTGACTCCTAAATACGTATTCTCAGTGACTACTAGATGCTGAGCTCTATTACCATGGCCACAGAGCTACTAACACTCACTTAAGGACAGATTGGGTATGGTTGTTTTTCTTTTTACCAGAAGCAGTCAGATCCTTGACAAATGAAGATGTATCACTGACTGATAAACTGCAGCAAGAATTGTTCGTAAGATATCACACAGCTAGTCAGTACACAGAGCAGAACGGAGCAGGTTTTTCTGGCATTGACTCTTAGAAAATGAAGCACATCCAGGTAGAAAGTAAAATGCAAAGTGCCTGAGACATCTTTTGTCATCGATGCTACTCAAGCATAAGCTCATAAGCTGTTTCAAAGGATTTTAAGAGATGAGGTAATTCTAGTCGCAGCAGACGCTGTCAGAACTTTATTGTAGGAACACCTGCTTTATTAACAAGGCATACCTGGAAATGCCTATCTACTTTTAGAAAGAATCCAGTGAATTCAAGTTACACAGAATGTGATGGATAGATTCAGATGTAACTTCGGAATTAATGAAGTTACAATAAGGATGTGATACATTTGCAGTTTAGGTCTCAAATCTCATTTTTAGTAAAGAGCCTTTGCCTTGTTCGAAGCCAGGTGGAGTAAAAGATTGCAAAAAGCTCATGGCTTTTTGTCCTTTTTCGATTTTTACAAATTGCACAGCAGAATCTGTTGACTCTGATTAGAAAATATCTTGTCTCCAAACAGTTTGTAGCACTGAAATAAAGTATGTTAAAGAAACAATGCATTTGTAATTTTATTTGAGTGAAAAGCAATGGAGCTTTCAGCATGCCTATAATTTGCAAACCAAAGTGAATGCTTAAAGTGTTGCTTCTTCTGTAAGAACAGACTTTTAAAGGTGATACTTTGGCATAAATAATGCTAACGTTGATGACATCAAGCTCTTTCATTTGCCCTCTAGCAGTGACATCATCTGCCTCTGCTATAATCACAGTAGCAACTGGCAGCTCTGCAGCAGGGTTTCCTGGAGCGCGTGGCAGACAGCAATGCTTACACAGCATCTTCCAGCTCTGTCAGCAACAACCTTCTCCTACTGAATTGATTTTGTTCTGGGATTTGTTTATTCGGAGTCCTAAACATTGTACAAACTGGGACAGTACAGCATAGCTATTTGTCTTAAGTAATACCAGCTCACTCCAAGGCGTTTGTTTCATTTGTTCCTGTAACATAGGGACACTTGATCCTAAGGCTACTATTTCTTCTCATTAAGTGCATTTTCTTAAATATGGTAAGATACAGAAAACAGTAACAGATACATGGTACTAAATATATATATATCAGTTCAAAACATCAAATCCCAGATGATAAAGGTTTTATTTCTACATTCTTTTCCACAAACAAAAAAATGCTACAATTTTCACTCCTTGAAGAAGAAAGATTTACAGACATTGAATCTGAATAGAGTAAACGATAAAGGCAGAAGCTGGCTTATTCTCAGACCTATCATCTTGTCCTGTATAAATCACTGATAAAGTGATGTCAGCAAAATTGCATAGGATTGCACTGTTGGCCTGAAATAGCTGAAAATATTTACACCTTAAAGCATTTCTTTTAAGGGAAGATAGAGATGAAAGGTGGACATTTACCTACAAAGGAATGGTTTTATTGACTTCTATGACAGTGCTTCTTCATCAGAAGCTGCTAACTATTAATAGTAAAAAAAAAAAAAAAAAACAGACCAAAACAAAACAAAAGCAATAAAAAACCCAAAAAACTCACAAAGCATCACCACTACCAAAAAGCCATGAATTGTTACTGAAGTAACAGATCATTTCAACAATTACACTGCAAGGTCTCTTCTATGACTAGGCAACTTCATTCCTAAAGTGACTTTAGCACTGGCAGAGTCTGCAAGACCACATCTGGGAGTTCAGATACAATATGAAAGGCAGCTACGAAAACACATCTCAAGTCCAGTCATGCCAATTTGTGTTATTTCTTTTTAAGTAGAGGAATGCCACTACTTTCTCTCCCAAGACTTAAAATACACTGCCAAAGCCATCCTTTCTGCAGACTGAAGTTCCAGCAATCTATTGAAAGAAATCTGTGAAGAAAGTAAAGACATATTTTTCAATCAAAATAGTGGCAAAAGAAAAGTCTTGGCCCCAGCTTTTTTTTTTTTTTTTTTTTTTTTTAATGCATATTTATCTGAAGCCACATCCATGTCAAAAACATTAATGACTCTGTGTCCTGGTTATGGCAGCTGAACTTCTTGTCTTCTTTTCACAGGACACAGCAGTTTTGCTAGCTCATCAATCATAGAATCATAGAATGGTCTGGGTTGAAAAGGACCACAATTATCACCTAGTTTCACCCCCCCCTGCTATGTGCAGGTCACCAACCAGCAGCCCAGGCTGCCCAGAGCCACATCCAGCCTGGCCTTGAATGCCTCCAGGGATGGGGCATCCACAGCCTCCTTGGGCAACCTGTTCCAGTGCCTCACCACCTCTGTGTGAAAACCTTCCTCCTAATATCTAACCTAAGATACTACAATGCTACAAAAAAGAATGGTTATATGCAGCACAATCATAAAGGCTTTTCTTCAGTAAGATGAGAATTGAAAGGATATAGGGAGTAAAAAAACTTATTATTTGTGTTGTATCTTGAAGTACACATAGGTAAGGACATGGCCTCTATTTTCCATGGAATCATTAATCACAATAGCATTTTGATAAATAATTACAGGCAGGCTAGTAAAATCCCATTGGAATAGCTCACGCAAGTATTGAGCTGAGGACATTTCCCGTACTTGGAAGCTGAGCTTCTCAATTCTTTCAATTCCAAGATATTCTTCTGGCTGGCTCCCAGGAAGCAGCAAGAGCTGAATCGGATCTGAAGACTGCTTATTTTCCAGAAGTTTTAAACCACATACACCTAAAATGAAAATGGATGTGAGCAGTAAACTACAGTTTGCTGTTTCACAGTTTTTTCACCCGTGCAATTAAGACCGAAGTACTTTCACAGAACAGTACACTTCCTCC